CCTGCGCCCCCAGCCGGGCACTTCCCCTCCCGGGCTCCGGCAGTGCAGGGTCCGGAGGCCAGGGGGCTGCCTGAAGCCCATAGCGCTCGGGCAGCCCGGCTCTTAAACAGAGCCGAAGAGTCAGGGGAGGAGCAGAGCCGTCATTTTCCCGGACATGTTCGGCTTTTTGGCAATTCCCCCCGGACGGGGGTTTGAGTGCCGAAAAGCTGGACATGTCCGGGAAAAAGAGGACATATGGTAACCCTAGATGCTAAGAGGTATCAGAGAGGGAAGAGCTGCGTTATCCAGGCATTGGGATGCCCTGTGCCTTTAAGAACACAGTCCTGGGAAGCGGATGCTGAACTGCACCATCCTGTGAGGTTTTGGGGGTGGAAAGCCAGGCTCTGACCCTCCCCTCCGCGTTTGCAACCAATGCTGACCTTGGGCTCAGCCCACCTAGCGGGAGCTTTTATCCCTTCCCTGTCCCTATCCCGTGGGTTCCCTCTGCCACTGGCTGTGCCTGTGCCTCCTTAACCCTGGCTTCTGCCCCTGATTTTCCCGTTCAGCCCCTCTCCTTCCCCTGCCTGCAGCCTGTTTGCCCCCGCACAGACTGTGCCCACCCCACACACCCCCATTTGCCCCCTCTGACCAGATCCCCCAAGGGTCCTATGAGCCCGCTCCCTGCCAGCAGAGCAGCAGGTTCCGAAGGGCAGCAGCTCTTTGTAACATCCCCCCCGCCCCCCCGGAGCAGAGCTGGGGCGAGGAGGGGCCGTTGGTGCAGTCACTTTCCTGCCTGGCCCCAGCCCTTTCCCCCGGGTCTCTCCCCTCACCTGCAGGCCCCGACTCAGTGGCTGGTGTCGGCAGGAGCTGGTTCCAGCCCTCGGAGAAAGTCCCCCGAGCTGGGCACAGAGGGGCGCTAGGGAAGGGCTCTCCCCGCACACACCCCGCAGGGGAGTCGCTGATGCGGCCTAGCGGCTGTGCTGTCCCCTTCCACCGCACATCAGGGGAGCGTTTGCCCGCCTCCCTTGTCGGAAGCAGATACTGATGGTAGTGAGGGCAGCAGCGGCTTCAGCAGCTGTTACAGCGCCGCAGATCCGGGGTGGAACTTCCCGGGTCAGACGCTGCTTCTGGCTGCCCGCTTATGTGACCTGGGAGCCCGGGCTGACCAGCTGCTGATGCCCAGCAGGGTCTGTGCAGGGAGAGAGAAGGGGGAGTTGCGGTCAGATTCACTTGTTTTTCCATAAAAAGAGTGTTTAACAATTCCTGAACAATTCTGATGCTTTCGGCTCTAGGCCGAAGCGTTTAAAGTCAGATCCATTCCTCTCTGTCTGTTAAAAGTCTGTTTTGATGTACATTTGTTTCAGGGGTTGAATAATTCTCCATTGTGCATGCACGCTGGTGTTTGTCCTTCAGTAAGATTTGAGTCTATTAACACACTTACACATTCTTTTCTTGGGCCTGTGAGTAGTCCCACTGGCTTCATTTAATCTCCGTCACTGGGTGGGTTTAGCACTGTCTCCCTGCATTCCCTGCTAGTGGAAGGTGTAGTCTAAGGACTAATAAAATAATCAAGGCCAGGATCTTTAAATACAGGAGTCTGAATTTAGGCTTTGAAATCCATATTCTGGTACCTGAATAAATGGCTTGATTATCACAAGTGCTGAGTACCAGAACTGAGTCCCAGTGTTGCAAGTTTCAAATATTTTCAAACTCAGGCTCCATACTGAGAAAGATGAATATGGATTTAATGGCTTGAAGTTAAGATTTGTTTGCTACTTTACAGGTTTTATCTTGCTGCTAACACGTACACATGCATGTCTTTACAAATAGGAGTGGTCCCGTTGACTTAATTTAACTTCTGCTAGTGGGAATGTTTCATTTTTTCAGTCCCAGTGGGCGGCTGTAATTAAGCAACCAGGTCAGGATCTTTAAATACAGGAGTCTGCATTTGAGCTTCCAAATCCACATTCAGGTACCTGCCTGCTTATCAAAGTCCTGCTTCCTCAGAAATGACCCCCGATATTTCAGGCTCAACATTCTTTAAATGCCAGATGCTACCTGAAGATGGATTTAAGAGTTTGCTTTACGTTGCTCTTTTTGAATATTTTGGCTTTGCATTTCTCCACAATAGCAGAGCCTGGGGAGACTCAGGATATGAAATACACTAAAGCCCCTAATGAGACTTTCCTAATTGTCCTTCTCACCCTGATAGGCTCCAGAATAAACAGCCACATTTCTCTCCAGATCATCCCATCCTCCCAGGGGACAGGGAAGGAGAATGGCTGCAGAGCAGGTGACCTTTCAGGAGATGGCTGTGTATTTTACTGAGCATCTGTGAGCTCTCCAATACCTGGCTTAGCAACACCTGTACAGGAACGCCACGCAGGAGAATTGTTATACCATGACCTCACTGGGTACGGATTCCTGTCACCTTGAGTATTGGAAGTTGGGAGAGACATTTAGCTTCTGCTCGGGCATCTTCACTGGTCCCCCATATTTCAGGTGAATCAGCCCTGATAGTCCCCAGAGCCTGCGTGTTACATACTGTCCCCTTCCCACACCACAGGAGACTCGGTGATATAATGATGGTGCTACTCTTCCCATAACTAAGGGTTTTAAGAGGGACAAACTCACTATTTTACCACCACCTTCCTCAGGCACGTTCCCTCCTCTGAGCCTCTGACCTCTCTGTTGTCTCAGAGAGGGACAAGTGTCTCATGACTTGGCTCTGCCTGAGTTCCCAGGGGCCAGCTTTTCAAAGGGGCTTCACCTTCATCTTGTTCATATTCTACCTCAGCCAGCTGTGTTAGCAGGAGGCCCCAGATGTTCTTGATGCTCTTGCACCAGGCAGGAAAAGCTTGAAGCAGGCTCACAGGGCTGGATCCAGCTGCTTGTTATTTCCTCGAGGGCAACCTTCTGAGCCTGATGTGCTGAATTGTTGGAAGGGGGGGGGGTGTCCCTGGGGCCTGCTCCAGGCCAGGGTTGATCTCTGTGAAATGATGGTTCTTTGCACTGAGAACAGCCAGGTTCTAGGTTTGAACATAAGAACGGCCATACTGGGTCTGACCGAAGATCCATCTAGCCCAGTATCCTGTCTTCCGACAGTGGCCAATGCCAGGTGTCCCACAGGGAATGAACACAACAGGTAATCATCAAGTGATCCATCCCAGGTCACCCATTCCCAGCTTCTGGCAAACAGGCTAGGGACACCGTCCCTGCCCATCCTGGCTAATATCCATTGATGGACCTATCCTCCATGAACTTATCTAGTTCTTTTTTTAACCCTGTTATAGTCTTGGCCTTCACAACATCCTCTAAGAAGGAGTTCCACAGATTGACTGTGCATTGTGTGAAAAAATACTTCCTTTTGTTTGTTTTAAATCTGCTGCCTATTAATTTCATTTGGTGATCTCTAGTTCTTGTGTTATGAGAAATAACACTTCCTTATTTACTTTCTTTGCACCAGTCACGATTTTATAAACATCTATCATATTCCCCTCCTTAGTCGTCTCTTTTCCAAGCTGAAAAGTCCCAGTCTTATTAATTTCTCCTCATATCGCAGCTGTTCCATACCCCTAATAAATTTTGTTGCCCTTTTCTGAAACTTTTCCAATTCCAATATATCTTTTTTGAGATGGGGCAACCACATCTGCATGCTGTATTCAAGATGTGGGCGTACCATGGATTTATATAAGGGCAATATGATCTTTTCTGTCTTATTATCTATCCCTATCTTAATGATTCCCAACATTCTGTTCGCTTTTTTGACTGCTGCTGCACATTGAGTAGATGTTTTCAGAGAACTATCCACAATGACTCCAAGATCTCTTTCTTCAGTGGTAACAGTTCATTTAGACCCCATCATTTTATATGTATAGTTGGGATTATGTTTTCCAATTTCATCTGCCATTTTGTTGCCCAGTCACCCAGTTTTGAGAGATCCTTTTGTAGCTCTTCACAGTCTGCCTCGGACTTAATTATATTGAGTAATTTTGTATCATCTGCAAATTTTGCCACCTCACTGTTTACCCCTTTTTCCAGATCATTTATGAATAGGGTGACCAGATGAGAGGAAGAAAATATTGGGATACCGGGGGGCGGAGGGGAGGGTGGGGGTCCGCAAGCGGAGCAAAAAAAAAAAACCCGAGTGCTGCCGACGGAGCAAAAACAAACAAAAAAAACTGCCGGCGGAGCAAGATATCGGGACAAACACCTAAAAATCGAGACGGTCCCATTTTATCGGGACATCTGGTCACCCTATTTATGAATATGTTAAATAGGACTGGGCCCAGTACAGACCCCTGGGGGACACCACTATTTACCTCTCTCCATTCTGAAAACTGACCATTTATTCCTATCTTTGGTTCCTATCTTTTAACCAGTTACCAATCCATAAGAGGACCTTCCCTGTTATTCCATGACAGCTTACTTTGCTTAAGAGCCTTTGGTGAGGGACCTTGTCTAAGGTTTTCTGAAAATCTAAGTACACTATCTCCACTGGATCCCCCTTGTCCACATGCTTGTTGACCCCCTCAAATAATTCTAGTAGATTGGTGAGGCATGATTTCCCTTTATAAAAACCATGTTGACTCTTCCCCAACAAATTATGTTCATCTATGTATCTGACCATTTTGTTCTTTACTATAGTTTCAACCAGTTTGCCCGGTACTGAAGTCAGGCTTACCAGCCTGTAATTGCCGGGATGACCTCTGGAGCCCTTTTTAAAAATTGGCGTCACATTAACTATCCTCCAGTCATTTGGTACAGAAACCGATTTAAATGATAGGTTACAGACTACAGTTAGTAGTTCTGCAATTTCACATTTGAGTTCCTTCAGAGCTCTTGGGTGAATACCTTCTGGTCCTGGTGACTTATTACTGTTTAATTTATCAATTTGTTCCAAAATGTCCTCTAATGACACCTCAATCTGGGACAGTTCCTCAGATTTGTCACCTAAAAAGAATGGCTCAGGTTTGGGAATCTCCCTCACAGCCTCAGCCGTGAAGAACGATGCAAAAAATTAATTTTGTTTCTCTGCAATGTCCTTATCATCCTTGAGTGCTCCTTTAGCACAGGGGTGGGCAAACTACAGCCGGCGGGCTGGATGCAGCCCGCGGGATTGCCACCACCATGGCACCGCGGGCCCCGCTTCACTCCAGGAAGCAACCGGCACCACGTCCCTGCAACCCCTGGGGGAGGGGAGGCAGAGAGCTGAGCACGCTGCCCTTGCCTGTGGGTGCCTCCCCTGAAGCTCCCATTGGTGGCCAGTGGAGATTGCCTTGGCCCGGTGCACACCACTGCCACCCCAGAGCCGCTCCAGGTAAGCAGTGTCAGGCCGGAGCCCACATCCTGAACCCCTCCTGCACCCTGCACCTGAGACCCCTGCCTGCAGCCCAAACCTCTGCTGCATCCTACACCCCTCCCTGCACCAGTGCCCTGAGCCCCCTCCCACACTGTGCATCCCCTCCTGCACCCTAACCCCCTTCCCTGAGCCCCCTCATACACCCTGCACTCCCTCACTCCAACCCCCTGTCCCAGCCCTACATTCATGGCCCTGCATGCAATTTCCCCACCCAGATGTGGCCCTTGGGCCAAAAAGTTTGCCTACCCCTGCTTTAGCATCTCGATCATCCAGTGACCCTCACTAGTTATTTAGCAGGCTTCCTGCTTCTGATGTACTTAAAAAAATGTTGCTATTATTTTTTGAGTCTTTGACTAGCTGTTCTTCAAGTTCTTTTTTGGCTTTCTTAATTATATTTTTATACTTCATTTGGCAGGGTTATGCTCCTTTCTATTTTCTTCACTAGGATTTAGCTTCCACATTTTAAAGGATGCCTTTTTGCCTCTCACTGCTTCTTTTACTTTGATGTTTAGCCCCAGTGGCACTTTTTTGGTTCTCTTACTATGTTTTTTAATTTGGGGTATACATTTAAGTTGAATCTCTATTATGGTGTCCTTAAAAAGTTTCCATGCAGTTTGCAGGGATTTCGCTTTTTGCACTGTACCTTTTAATTTCTGTTTAACTTCCTCATTTT